CTGCCAGAGGAGGAAACTAAGCAGAATTTCAGTTCAGTCTCAGAAGGGCAACTATCACACAGGCTCCTGTCGAGGGAGCACAGGGCTGAGCTGTGTTATGGGTTCCACACTCTGACCATGGGCAATGTGCCAGTTTCCTTTTCCTTCCAGGTGTACAGAATTTCAAGAACTAGTTGGCAAATGGTATTTGAAATGTCAAAATACAGTAACATTACAAATTCATGTACATGACGTATACATATAATGTATGTGATTAATATTTATATATATATTAATGTGTGTATAAAATACATTTCTTATTTGTGGGCCAGATTCAGTAAGGAAAAAATAATCAACACATTTTCCTATATCAGATGTTAATTATAAGTAACATTAACACTTTTCTCCCTTTATGTGTTAAAAATAGCCTTGCTTATGAATAATGGTCTCTGCTGTGACACAGCAATCTGTCTGAGTTGTGTTTGCCAAGGAACAAAATGTGACCCAAATTGCCCATGGCCTGTCAGTTAGGACAGATTTTCATTTTACAGTGTAAACTGTAAAAGATTCCTTATAGCTATTGGATAGCAGATGAGGACAGACAGTAAGGGTTTAGCAGTGCTTTCCTTAACCTTCCCATTTCTCCCAGCAGTAAATGTAAATAGGTGGTTGCTGGCTTCTAATGGCAGCCATAGCACTCCACCTTAGCAGCTTCATTCATTGGGCAGGTGAGCTGCAGGACTGGCAATGGGTGCAGCCCTTTTCTGTCATTAGCAGAAGAATACAGGATATATCTGAATAAACATATTATTTGAGATCAGTAGAGCATTTTCAAAGAGGATCATCAAAACACCCCAGCTGACCATGCTTTGGTTCATGCATCAGAGCAATCTTGGAGCACAAACAAGTTTAGTTGATAGGTATTGAAACTGGGAGGTGTGTATTAGCAGTACATCCACTGTGCGCCAGGCTCTAATGGTTGTTCAGAGCATGGGACCAGACTAGCCTCAAGAAAAGATCTCCAAAATTATACAACATGGGCATGAAATCCTTAGAATGGTTTCCTGCTGTCCTTCCCTTCTTGCTCATCAGTTTTAGGACTGGAACCCTTAAAAGGCCCCTGAAGGTCTTAGACAGATGAGCAAGTAGAGCCCAAAAAGGAAGAGGATGGATGTTCACCCAACAGAGGGAGTTGTTTCACAGTTTCTAAATACAGCTGTTAAAAATAATTCCACAAGTTTGAGAGAAAGGGTGAGGTTGGCTTGAAACAATAATATTAAGATGCATTTGGGACTTTTTCAGAAAAAAAATAAAATCATGCACTTTTGATTTTCAAAGCCATCTGAGTTTAATCTCTTCTGAAGCTGTCAAACATTTAGGGGCATTTGATAATATTTCTAAGGTTTTCTCTGCAACTCTGAATATGAGGGGCTTATTCTTAAAAAGTAGATGAGGTTCTAGAATAATCACACAGTTTCAGAATTCAAGACCTATGAAACCTAGTATATTCACAGCAAAACTACAAGAAATGCTAATATTTTTGGTTTTAGCAAAAATCAGTGTTCTTAATGCATATAAACATTTAGATCTTGCTGCATATAACTAAAAAGATTCTGTTGCCATCTTTTGTCAACATTGTTCTTGCCTAGCAATTTCCCTATCAAAGCTTTTGTAGTATTACGATTACCATCATTTACTCTCCTTCATTTAACTTGCACAGTTAATGGAATGATATGTAGCCTACATGACTGCACAAGGAAGGATATAATTAGAAAGCCATTGGAAACACATTTGGAAAATAAACTTCATTGCAATCACTGCTGGTCTTCAAGGGTTTTGAAGAGCTCCTCTATGAGGCAGGTAATTTTAGTGCCTCTTTCAGGTTGCACAAGAGGTCCTGTGCAGATTGCACAAATGCTCTGCCCTAGGTTGTGTGGTCTGTGTGTGCTGCTTTCTTAACAGAAAACCTTCTTGAGATAACAGGCTTCCATTGCTAAAACACTAACCCCTGGGATTTGGGAAAGTACAGTTATCTCCCTATCTAACCTGTGTGACATGGGTTTTTAATCCGACTGTTTTAATTCAGCCATTTTTATCTGACCACCAACTGGGCTAACATTACTGCTTTCAGATTTTTTAACGTGGATTAAGGAAGTGTTTAAGGAAAGGAGAGCTGAACAAAGCAGGGCCCCTGCTATTCAGAGCTGAGCCTGATCAAGGGGGACAGGTCATCACAGTGTTGATGCTGGACACCAGAGGAGGTGTGTGCCTCTTCAGGTCCTTTGGCACCCTCAGCCCTTAAGTCTACAACAGGAAAACCAGCGTTTGCCACCGTGGAAGGTTGTTTGGTCCCCAGGGCTGCAGAAGCCTCCAGAACCTCTGTGGGTATTCAAGCCAAGATCCAGCTACAGTTAAAGAAGTCTCTAGGGCAAGTGCAGACTAAATCAATACCACAAAAAAGCAAAAAGTAATTCTTGTGAAGGATGAAAAGTCATCTTAATTCTGCCAGTGGCCAGAATGAACTAAGACAATGATTTTGCCAGCATGTTTTCAGTGCAGCCATTGTACTGAAGGAAAGAGAGCTGGGAATGTTCTTGTCTTTCTCCTGCTGTGTTTTGCAGATGGAAAGCTGGGGAAAAAACCCACCTTTCTCTAATCATTTAAAATGCTGTTAGGAAGCAAAATATATTCAATGTCATGCAAAGATAAAAAATATTAACAAAGGCCTCGAAAGGCAAGATTCCTAGGATGCTGCTTTGCATGCCTTTTCCTACAAAGATATTTCAAGATATACATTTTAGCAGTGATTCAGCAGATCTTGTACAAGATTCTGCCTGTATCATCAATGGCCATGTCTTTAACACACGGCCCAGTGTCCATTTTCTCTATGTTTAGCAATCTGCCAGGGTTTGATCTGCAGCCACTCCACAACCTTGTTGCTGAGAAGAATGCAATTCCATGGTATAGGCAGCTGGCTCGGCAAGCCCTCCTCAGGGAAACGTCTGGAAAACCACAAAACGTCTGTGTGCTTGTTGGGTGGAAGTCTAAGTGAACAATTTATTATGTTTATCGTTATTCATAATTCAGCATACATCAGATGGACATGATTATAGTAAAATTAGGGAGTTCTCAATGTCTGGGAAATGATTGGTATCTGCTCTATGGCTTTGGAATGCTGAACATTTCCTTTATTGAAACTGTATTATATTACATTATACTATATTAAAGAGACATACTATACTACATCATACTTTCCAACTTCTAACTACTGAACTGAAAACCTCGTGACTCTCTGTTTGAGAGTCCCGACTCACACACGTGGATCTAATTGCTCACCTCAGGTAAACGATCTCCAGAATGCATTCCACTTGCACACAAACACAGGAGCAGTAAATGAGATAAGAATTGTTTTGATCATTCTTTTCTCTGCTTCTCTCTGTTCAGAGGGCATGTGAATGCCACACATGATTTTTCTCTTCAGAAGATTTTTGAGTAATTCCTTGCTACTTAGTTGCTACTTAGTTTTCAAACTAAAATCATGTCAATACCAAGCTTCCATGACAGCCTAAGTTCACTGAAAGCAAAGTCTTCAGTATGTTCTTAACCTCAAATCCTGTCCTTTACCAATGGTTTCTGAAAAGCTCTATCTCCTTTAGGTGATTTATTCAAGGAACATGATTGCACAAGAGGCCCTTGTGCAAAGCTTAATTAAATTATCTAATCCTTTACTGGCAGCTAGAAATTTTTTCTTGAACCATGGATTATTCAAATACCATCATACTGAGCAGCACCCAAAGGCTCTCAAACCCTCATCATCAATCTCAGGTTTCTTTCTGAGTAGGAAAAGCAAAATCAAAAACCACAAGAGCATCCACGAGAAAGGCTGATTGAGAATTTCATTTGTATCCACAATTTGAAGATCCAAGGACCATCAGATTTTCCTTTAGCAACAACAAAGGATAATTTGGTCTAAACTGTTAAATACAATACTTTGAGCCACATGTATTTTAAGCCACATTTTCACATGCTGGCAGCAAATGAGTGTCTGCCTCTGTAGATGTGATTTTGATTATAGCAGGGGTTTGTGTGATTCATCATCAAAAGATGAATTTTGAAGCACCCTGCCTTAACATCCATGTGTTATGGAGTGTGGGCAGTGGGCAGGGTGCTGCCCCAGAACCCAGAAGAGCCAGCTCCAATCTGGGCTCTGCCATTGGCTTGCCAAGCGACAAAGTATGAGACTGTTTTCTTACTTACAGGCAATTAGGCAGGGTGAGCACAGTGCTCACTGCATAATGATTATATATTTGTATGACCATTTTTACACCAGTGCCTCCTCAGTTCATGACTGGGGCCTACAGGCATTATAAAGTCAGCAAAGATAGCACCATAAAGGTAAATTACAAAGGTATTAATGGCATCAGCTAATATAGACTAGACCTGAGTATGAAAGCCACATATTTTGGCCAGTAAGTGGAGAATGAAAAGCTTTGTTTCAGGTATTAAGCATATTAAGGACATTATGCAAATGATTTGATAAATGTATCCTCATTTCTGCTTTTATTTTTAAGTTTCTGGATGATATTTTAATTTTTGAAATAATGTCCTTAGCCTACGGCCAGCTTTTCATGGCTGTTCTCAATTGCATTTGGATACGTCAAAGGAACTGTAAGAGCTTCATGTCTCTCCACCTGCCAGGGGAGAGTGGAGTCATAGCACTCTTCCAATGCTAAATGCATTTCCTGGTAGCCAAAATCACTTTCCATAAATCAGAGAGGACTGCCTGCATTATGCCCAAGGCTGAGGTCATGTAGGGGACCAGAAGCCAGTTCTGAGCATCTCACTTGTGATTTGATAAAGGTGCAATGTTGAGAAGAAATAGTTGAAAGTAAATATTCTAGAGGAATCTGCCAGGTGGGTGATGGAGTAGGCTTTCTGGTCTCCAGCCACTCACCTCAGCTCAAGATTCTCAGAGGAGGAGCTGGGGAAGTGAAGCATGCTAATCAGATCTCTCCTTTCAGCTTACAAGGAAAAGATGAAGGAGCTGTCCATGCTCTCGCTGATCTGCTCCTGTTTTTACCCGGAACCTCGCAACATGAACATCTACAAATATGATGGTGAGTGATGTTTACTGGAAGTCATCCTGCAGGTCAGAAAATGTGCTAGTGCTGGGAAATGACTCAGTTGTCCTCCTAGTCCATAGTATTAGTTGGTGAATATTTTTCTGATTTGATAATTTAATTGCTGGTTTGGGCAATTAATTTCTGTGCAGTGTGCAGTAGCCACAATGGTGGATATTGTTCCTAATAGGAGCTAACTAAACTTTTAACAATAACCCTCTCATACTGAGCTGTTCTTTCCCTACTCCCCATTTGAGAATTACAGCTCTTCATAGGTGGCATAATTCCCAAGAAAATGAAGAAAAAATGAAAGGATGCCTAAAAAATTAACCAGCTTGGGCATTGCTTGCAGGGGGTGTGAAATGGCACAGAACCTTAATATGCATCCAAAATTGCTGTAAATTTTTTATCTTTATGAGATTAAGGTATAATTAAGCAATTACAAATAAAATGGAATGTACTCCCGAGAATAGTTTTCAGCCCATAATCTGCCATTGCATTTAAAATGCCCAAGGCAAAGATGCTAAATCATTTGTCTGTGCTTCTGATCCTGCTCTGATATCAGTGCTGTTTCTCTCCTGAATACTGCTGGTGTATTAAGGACTTACAATTTCCTACCTTATTGTGCAGACATGGAAGTGAAACAAATCAACAAACGTGCCTCAGGCCAGGCCTTTGAACTGATCCTAAAGCCGCCTTCTCCAGTCTCAGAAGCACCACGAACTTTAGCTTCTCCAAAGAAGAAAGAACTCTCTCTTGAGGAGATCCAGAAAAAGCTGGAGGCTGCAGAGGAGAGGAGAAAGGTACCTTTCCCTACAAAATTATGCTAGTAATTAGACATGATTTAGTGTACAGAATAGCAGTTGAGTTTCCTGTCTCTTTGTGTGTTTTCCATTGCGATCACTGAGTCATGGTAGCCTGCATGGACAAAAATCATCAATATGTTTATAGAAATGAATTAGTTCATTGTCCTTCAGCAGCTTTCAAGCAAGCCTCACTGGTCTCAGAGCTGGGGAAGCATGCATCACCAAATAGACCTAGCTTCAGACAGGGGCCAAGTGGGCTCATATGCACTTGCTTACAATGTGAGCATACCTAATGCTTCATTCAGGGCATTAAAGCCCTGCATCAATTGCACTGGTATCAAAGCCAGTGCAAGTATTTTGTCTGAGTTTAAGAGGCAGATCTGCAATTCAAGCAGATGCTCTTGGTGCTACCAGATCTTGACTCCTCGTAGCATCCATGGAAATTATTTACAGGGTCTGCATAAGGCCTCTAAAATGTCTTATTTATGCAATATAGAGGAACACCCTGAGTAGAATGAGTTTGGGATCATTCCCACACACTTGAATGAAGACACTAGCATGGCACAGATGCTAAGAGACATTTCTAGCAGTTTCAGTAGTGATGGAAATTGGCTTTCTAGGGTTTTGCACAGACTACATCTTCCCCTCTTTATGATCCTACCCACAATGGTAAAACTCTGTTTCATAATCACTAAGTTTGTCACATGGCATTTGGAAGAGTTGTTACACCTTTCTCACAAAAGTTGGCACAAAGGCAGCTGGAAATACCCATTAACGGCTTATTTGCCTTTCAGCGTGACTGATGTGTTGAAGAGGTCTTCCTTTTCTCTAAGTTAGAGCTAAATCAGGCTGCTTTTTCTTTTTACTTTTTACAAAGAGAAAAAGACAAACTCCAGATTAGATAAAACAGAAGATGACAATGAGACACTTACCACAACCAGCCTGAATTGCCAGGCTGGAAATTATCAGTGTTCTATATACACACAGCATTTGTGGTGTGCTGCACCATTTCAGAAAAGTCATGACTGGCTGCAATGACCACAGAAAAATTAAAATTGGTAATATATTGTCCTGGTCAATTCATGTTTCTTTGTGCTGATAAACAAAAGGAGAGAAGCAGAAGCTTTAGGATCTTTGGGCTGTTTTCTTCACCCAGGAGATCAGTGTTATTTTGTGGCAAATCAGCTTGCACAATTAAATAGGCATTAGAAACCCCTTCTACCTGCCCATGGAGTCCCTCATAGAGGGTTTCTGAAAATGAAACGAGCTTATATGTCTCTTAAGCCATTTATTTCTCGTTTAAACAATGTAATTTCTTGCTAAAACTGCTGTTAATACAGCTTTTCCTGATGTCATCAAAAACATATACAGAAGTTCAGGTACAGCATCTGTGCCACAGATAGCCAGAAAAAGCAATTCCATTCTCTTTCATTGCTGTCAGACAAGATCAGGGTCACTGCCAAGAACCTCAAGGGAATGATTACTCTGGGGTGTGGTTTGTTATGTGTCTGCTGAAGTCAGTAGATTTGGATTACTGACAGGGCTTTAAAACCTGGCACGTAGTTTGGATTTAAAGTGAAACCTGACTATTGTGGACCTCACTAATTTGAGCAATTCATCTAGATGATAACTGCGGTGTTGCTATTTTTGTCATTTTTGCTGGCTTGCTAACAATGGCTCTGTGGTTCCAGCACACACTCATTAGCACTATCACTTCTTTCAAACAAATATTTCTGCCAGAGCATTCATTTCAGTAAGAGGACATGATTGTATATCCAAGGAATTTCCATTTGCACTAGCACCTGCCGAGAGGGGTGAGCTCTTACTCATCCAAGTTATGATATTCTCCAAAAACTCAGTCTGTGAAGTTCCTGTGTGCTGAGTACAAATCCTCAAGTAAAGATACAGACACAGAATGAAATAACAGCAATAAAAGGCCTGATATTATGCATATACTTGGTGAAAATTACAAATTGAATGTTTCAGAGATTTCATTCCATTGATTTCATTACTGTTCATTTCCTCCTAAAGAAAAACTCATCATGCAATAGATTGGTAATCAGTGATAGCAATAGAGACACCTGCCATTTCTTCCCCTTGATACTGTATTCATTTTGAATGAACATATAACTGAGTTATTTTAATAGACAAGATCCTCCACATTAGCATTGCAGCAGAAATTGCTGGGAAAGGAACAAAGAACAGAACAAAATGTTTCTTTACATCACTGTTAAAATCCCTGGTGTTCTCACATCTTAACTATTGACTTCATTTTTGCCCCAAAAAAGCATAGTGCAGAGAAGGATAAAAAAGCAATTAGAGGAACAGAAAATCTTCCATCGGAAGATAAATTAAACAGTCCACTTTTCAGCTTGGAAAGAGACAATAGATGAAAGATAAAATATAAGTCTACAAAGTCATGAATGGTAATGAGAAGATGAATAGGAGCAATTATATTCTATTTCACTCAATCCAAAGGGGACAAAACATTCAAAGAAATCATCAGACAGATATTTCAAAAAGGAATCATGTTTTCATGTATTGTTTATTTAAGATATATTTGTTATCACAGACTGTTTATAGGTTATTAACATGTTATTTGGTTCAAAAATATAATAGCAAAATTGATAGAGCACTACCTTGTAGGAAATTATGTGAATGGAACTTGTGACTCAGGAAATATGGAACTTGCTGACTGCTGAAAGCTAGAGATATTTGCCCAAATTCATCTAGAGTTTCCCTCAGCATCTTCTTCCACTTTCTGCTGCTAGACAAACCAGGCTTTTTCCAAAAGCCAGCATGGCTGTTGTTATCATATTTTTCAATCTATGTACAAAGCTGTCAGGCATGTCCTTCCAGCACAATTTTATCTCAAATCAAGCTTAACTAATGGATGAGAATTGCCTTTTTGGAAAACGAGTTGCTAACGAATTTTACGCTGCTTAGGAATTAGGTTCTGCTCTGCTAATTAGGCAGTGTTCATTAATAAATGTTCAAACTCATGAGACCATCTAGAGCAATACATGCACTTCAGCAGTCTCCTGCTTAGGCTTTTTCCAGTTTGTCATTCTTGTTTATTTCCTAGTAAGCTTTTACAGGGCTCCTTTCCTTTTCTCCCATTTTCTCTACCTCACCTGACAGCCATGACCTCATACTCTCAGAGAGTTTCACCTGAGGCATTTTGTATTTTTTGCATTACACAGCAAAGCCAATTTGGGCTAGTTACAGATTAGTCCTTTCCATTATAGAATCCTCTTTACAGCATGTCATTATTATCCTTTTTCTTTTTTTTTTGGCATATATGTGGTATATTTTCCTACCTTGGTGGATAATCAGACAGATCTTTTCATCCTTCTCAGTTAAGAAATTAGAGCACAGTGACATTGTATGCAGCAGAAGTTTTCCTTACAGATATTTAACATTTATCAATTTTTACCCATTGACCTTGAATGTTCAGCTCTTATTATTAGTGGTATACAGACTTCAAGGGGCATATATCAAATTATTTGTTTTTATTGTCTCTGTTCAATTTATTTAGTAGCATAAAAAAGAAACACTAAAGGGATGTGCATTTCTTCTAGACTGTGGATTATAGACGAGAAATTGTATGTAATTAAATCCTTTTAATGGCTTTGTATTGGGATGAAACTGAATCAAGCTTATCCCTAGAGCTTAGTGTGACAAAGAATGCAGGAAAACAGTCTTTTTTTTTTTTTTTTTTTTTTTTTAATTTCCTGCTGTTGTATACAGACTTCCAGCTTCCTGGGTTTTTAATGCTGTTGCAATGAAATGCCACAAGACAAGCCTGCTGTCCAGCCTGGGCTTGGCTCACTATGCTCCCCACAGCTGCAGCCAGCCCGGGGCATCTCTGCCAGCTTCAGGACCACACTCAGTGCTGGGCTTCAGCACCCAACTCACTGCCCCTTTGAGCCAGCAGCCTGCCCAGAGGGGGCTCTTGGCACTCTTTACTCATCTCTGCTTTTCCATCCATGTTTAGTGTTCTGTACAGGAGGCTGCTGGGGGAAGGCAGGGAAGGCAGCAGAGCTGGGGACAAATGTTCCTCCCTGGACATTGCATGGCACCTACAGAACTGCTGCTCCAGGTGACAGGCAGAGAAGGGATATGCTCCTTCCCTGTCAAAAGTCAACCTTCTTCTTCCATCTAATTTCTGTTACCCTTTCCCACCAAATTTTAAGGTGAGAAGAATGGGAATGAAGATAGGCAATGCCCAAGACATATGTCTCCTGTCTTGCTCACCTGTTGATCTTCCTTTCTATTGCTGCTGGCCCTCAGCTGTGCTTCTGTGGAGAAGTAACACAGCATGAAGCATTTTTCCATGTAAAGGTCCCAGTAATAGGTGTAATCAGCACCAGAAACAGATGTTTCTGTCACATTTTGATTTATGCCATAGTGTGTGAATACACAGGGGTTCACTCCTAAGTAACCAAAGATAGCAAAAATTCCAAGAAACTTCACAGTTCCTCACCCAAAACCACACGTTAGCCTATAGAATACGGACCTGTAGGAAGATGTTTGCTACCAACAAGGAGAGGATTTGGTGTCAGGCACCAGGGTCTGTCTCGGAGCACATGGAGCCATGAGCATACATCCCAATGCTGGCAAACATTCTCGCCCCACTCTGCCATGCGCTTCTCTGCCACTAATGAACAGCCATCAGACAATTTGACATTGATCCTCATTAACTTTATAATGCCAGGCCTCAAACTGCAGCAGACCATGAGGGCAGAGGCTCAGGTGGTACTTCCTGCATACCCCCAACATGCCTTGTTCAGCCCTGCAGGTCAAACCATGAGAGCAGTAATTTTGTGCCAGCTGAGGAAGAGAAAGTTTTCTTGAATCCCAACATGGAAGGGCTTTTTTTCTTTTTCCTCCACATCCCAAAGGTTGTTTGGCAGACTCTACAAAAATAAATTGAAAAAGAAATCCCCACCTAAATTTAAGAAAAATTTTCATTATCTAGCTTCACTAGGAGCAGAGCTTCACCCATAGTTACAGATCACATGTCTCTGACTCTCCTGCCAAATGGATATTTCTGAGAGAAGTCTAATTTGAGACCATTCCCATGTTTTTACATGGAAAAATCCCAGCCTCAGTTCCTTCCACTGAAAACATCAGTACTTCAAGTCACCATACCAAGGCTTCACCTTGGCATTTACATTGCAGTAGGAGCCTTTCCTCCTATCTTCACAGTCTGCTCATTAATAGTTACTCTTAGATACACACTGTATTGAGGAACACCAACATTACTGCAGCTTCTTCTGAACAACTGCATTGTTAAAAAAGAAAAAAACAGTCAGTGAGCAAATGTGTTGTGAAAGAGGAGCACTCAGATGCCCTAGTAACTAAAGGTACTGGTATCTGAGGTTGAATACATTCAAGCTGAAATTTCCAGCTTAAAAGCAGTTGTCTGAACCCATTTCTTGTTTAAGAGCAATAAAGAATTAATTTTATCTCTGTATCAATTACTTCAATATTTGGATATATCTGTCAAACAAAGATAGATAGATAGACGTGAGAAAATAAAGCAGCTCTTACTCAGATAAGGAAAATTTTCTTCATGTGAGTAATAATTAAACAATATATCTCCAAAGCCAGTTTCCATGACTAATTTTGCTCATGAAGTGAGTATTTAGTCGTCTGCATCTATCTCTGGCCCAGCTAGGTACCAGATGTAGATTTCCTTTTGAACCACTCATCTCTGAAAACTGAAGATGCACATGGTCACTTAAATAAATATGACCTGAACATCACAGGAGAGGAGTTTGCCTGCACTTTTAGCACATCAGTATGTTTCTTGGAGCAAAGGTATCTGTACCAGGACTACTCTCCAGTATTTTTATTCCTCCATATTTAATTATTAACAAATAAACATTTTTGTTTCTCCACATTATTTTGTGGCCATTTAGTACCTTAAGGAGGCTTGTAAAATGGAGGGAAAGTGGTTTTTTCCAAACACAGATAGTGATAGAACAAGGAAGAATGGTTTTAAACTAAAAGAGGGGAGATTTAAATTAGATGGTAGGAGGAAGCTCTTTAATGTGGGGGGCTGAGGCAGTGACACAGGCTGCTCAGAGAAGCTGTGGGTGCCCCATCCCTCAAAGTGCCCCAGATGAGGCTGGATGGGGCTTTGCACAAACTGGTCTAGAGGAAGATGTGCCTGCCTATGGCAGGGGGTTAGAACTGGCTGATCTTTAAGGTCCATTCCAGTCCAAGACACTCTATGAAGCTTTGATTCTGTGATGTAACACTAGATGCTGCAGCTGGAGCTGCATTGGTTATGCCTTGCTATATTTAAGAAGTGTTCTGAATATCCCCCCTTGAATATTGCTTTTTTTGCTCCACCATTTCGTATTTCTCTCTCCTTATTAGTTTTCCTTATATTTCATCTTGCTAACAGCCTTTTTTTTCATTTTATCACCACATCTGTGTAAGAAGCACCATAAGCAATATACAGCTGTGTTAGAACTATCAAAAATTTGAAAATATCCCTTCTAGCGCTTCAAACAGTGTCAAAAATAAACTTGAAATGAAAACCTCCTATGTATGTTGGAATCCTGCATCACTGTGGAGCTGTGTGAGTCCAAACACAGCCATTTAAAAGCCAAGACAAACAACAAAGGGAGTCTATTAATCCCAGCTCCCCTGGGTATCCATGGTCATTCATTTACCCATTTCTGGATGTGTAGTAGACTTTGAACAGACAGGGTGGCCAAGTTCTTTTGCCAAATGGGCTGGAAACAGAAGATAATTTGACAATCCAGTACAAACACATAGCAGGCGCCTTCCAGAATTGTCATAAGGGGATTTCAGAATGATCTGAGCACCAGGGAAACAGCAGACTGACAGCTGGGGTACAAGGCCATTAGAGAAGGGACATCAGTCTGAATGACATTCTACCCTGTGGATGTTTCATGGCAGGGAGGGGGGTTCCTTTATTTTGAACCAGTGCCAGTGATTTTCCTGTCTCAAAATTCATCACAATGTGCCCTTAAAGACATATTGTACAGGAAAATCACATTAGGGGTTTGCAGTCACTTCCTGAGGCCTGGTTCAGCTTTCAAGCAGTCTCTTTCTGGTGCCAACCCAATTTGCATCCAGTAAATACCGAATTAGAGGATAAGGATTTTCTTCATTATCATGAATTATAGGACAAATTACTTTTGAATGTACTGTCTGCCAGCACAGCATCCAGAAATGCGTGTACTTTGATATGAGGCTCTAATTTTTCACTGTTCTCCAGGATTTATGATAAAAAGTCTTTCCAGAAGGCAAAAGGTTTGAATGAAGAAAACAAATCTTGAAAAATGGGGAAATGCCTCAAAATCTCAAAGGCATTTTGCTACCTCCATTGAAAGCAAATGCTCTTTTAAAAAATGTTTCTTATCTGCATGGTCCAAATCTTACTTTTTATTAGCGCGTGGCAGTGTCCTTGAAAATTGTTTTCCAAATCTGAGAAGGTCTGATTTTATAACTCATTATATATGCATATTTAAACACCATGAAATGTTAGCCTTTCAAATTTACAAATCACTTCTGAAATGTTTCATGGGAAAGGACATTACATTAAATTAGTCTAATGGTGTCTTTTCTATTCAGACTCCCAACAGGAAGAGAAATGGATTCCCAGATTATCCATTACTTTTAGATCATTTAAGCAAAGGGTTCACAAAATTCATATCAGCAGACAAAATTTAATGATCATAACTCTTCCAAAAGTAGACTTTTGAGAGATTGCTGTTGAGTAGTAAATTAAACAAAAAGTGCAGAACAACTTTAGAATAACTAGTCAAACTGGGCCACTCAGGTTTGCCCACAAGTGGGAAAGAGAGATGAAAATATTTAATTATTTCAGGTTTACATTGCATCAGATCTCTTAAAATAACTTTTTTACTTAGTAAATTAACCTATGGTTAAGAACTGTTTAATGCTAAGTATCTGAAATCAAATATTTTGTTTCAAAATACACTACTTTTACTATATTATTATTTAAAATTTTGATATTTTTATTAAACTTATGGGGCTTTTATGATTTTTTATTGCTCTACAAAATTCCTTCTTGTCCTAGCTCTATTTGACTTTGGCTCATCCTTCTTCTATATTCCATCAGTGAAATTCCCTCTGCTTTTGGCTTCATCTATCTGAGGAGCTTTGTTCCCATTTGCAACATCTTTCATCTGGCACAACAGAGGCAGAGACATGAAAAGTGCTTGCTCTATTACTCTGTTCAGCATATGCTGTAAGGGAGAGAGGAGCCAGGAAGAGTCTCAGGGAGGTCCCAGCCCTTCCAGGAGACCATTCCTGCCAGCAGGTGCTCCAGGGATCATTTTGGGAAATGGAGAAATGAGCCTGTAGCCAGGCCAGAGGTGAAACCCATTAAGTGATACGGATGGAGGGAAGTGGCTCTCTCCTATGACCTCAAGCATGCCATTACAGCCTTTCAAAGCCAGATGTATTTTACCCCAATATCTTGCTGCAAGATGTTCTGCCTTGCCTTTGCAGCCTTTTCTAGAATCTCCTTTATTTGCCCTGTCAGTGCATTTGGTTTTATGCATATCTTACTTTCATTAAAATATTTGTTTTCTCCTACTCGAGTCTTGCTCATATAGAAGAGTTGCAGCCTTTTTCAGTCCATTTAAAGCCACAGGATAGAATTTTGAATGTTTCATTACCACTAATTGTAATTAATGGTTAAAACCCTTAATTTAGGCCATAAACTAACTCATTTTTATGGATCACAATGGCACCAGTGCCTTGGGATCAGCACTGAAATACACAATTAGCCTCCCAGTGCCCTATTTCATTCTCTGTTTTTCTATTTTTTCCCATGCTGCCTCTCATTTATTTTATCCAAAAGCACATGATGTTGCTCATCTTTTCCAAATAACTGTCTTTTCAACTAGACTTGCCTGGAGAATGGGCCTAATGCTGCAAGTTTTTGGCTTCTTTCCTAGGATTAGTGGTTTCCTGTTAGAAATTTCGTTGAGTACACATAACAAAGCTTATGCTTCTGAGAAGTGAGAGAAGGAAGAACACAATATTAAGCATGGACTGCATGTGTTTAATTCCTACTCACAGTTTTCATCTTCCTTGAAAAATAAAAGCTTTTAACTAAAAATTTTTTGTATTTTCTATGCAATAAAACACTTATTTTCTCTTCCTAATCAATGAGATTAATCTGAATATAAGTGTAATGGGAAGAAACATTGTCTGAGTTGATGCTGCCTGTCTTTCATGTCAATAAACTTCCAAGCCTGTTATTAACTATTCAAGCACATTATAGAAGAGTCCAGCCTGGGTGAAAATTGCACCTGTCCTGCATCAGTAATCTCCACAGAAATGACTCTACATTTCTTCAACCTCAGGTGCCTATCCTAAAGATAAAATGTCTGTAGCTAAGAGACTGCAGCTGTCAGAGGTTGAGCAACCACTGCAGCGATGCAGACGAGCCAAGGCAGCAGCACCGCAGCATTTTTGTTAACAGAAGTGCTTCAGACATTTCTCTGCTGCTGCTCCCTCAGGCGTGTACCCCACATTCTGCCTGTGCTTCTAAACCTAAAGCTAACCTAGTTCAGTCACAAAGTAACCTCCTAAAAAAAGGCAGCAAGCTTTACACAGTTTCCACACTCAGGGAATTGTTGCCCTATGGCAAGGAACTGTGTTCCTTGGCAACATGCTTTGCTCCACATGAGTATTTCTTCTCAATCTGTGTCTCTGTTTCCAGTCCCAGGAGGCCCAGGTGCTGAAACATCTGGCAGAGAAGAGAGAACATGAGCGAGAAGTGCTTCAAAAAGCTTTGGAGGAGAACAATAACTTCAGCAAAATGGCAGAGGAAAAGCTGATACTGAAAATGGAACAGATCAAAGAAAACCGTGAAGCTAATATAGCTGCTCTTATTGAACGCCTCCAAGAGAAGGTAACCACACCATCACTCCTCACTTTAGACTAGAGAGGAAAACCTAATCAATATTTTGCAAAGATGTTGTGCATAGTCCATATCTCAGCTGCTACACTTGAGCTATTTTTAAGTCAGAGCTACTGATGCCTGTCTAAACCCCCACTCACTCTGGAAAAGGACTGAAGTGCTACAGTCACACAATCACAGGGTGGTTGAGGTTGTAAGGGCCCTCTGGAGATCCTCTGGTCCAACCCCAGGCTCAAGGGGGGCCACGTAGAACCAGTTGCCCAGGGCCACGTCCAGGTGGCTTTTTAATATCTCCAAGAATGAAGATTCCAATTCCACTCTGGGCAACCTGTGCCACTGCTCAGTCACCTCACAATGACAAAGTTTTCCCTGATGTTCAGAGGAAGCCTTATAGGTTTTAGTTTTTGCCCATTGCCCCGATCATGTCACTGGGCACCACTGGAAAGATCCTGGCTCTGTGTTCCCTTCATTCAGGTATTTATAGATATTTGTAAGATCCCCCTGAGATGTCTCCGAACTGAACAATCCAGCTCTCTCAGCCTTTCCTCATAGCAGAGACTGAGAGATGCTCCTTAAGCCTCATGGCCCTTTGCTGGACTGCCTCTAGAGAAAGGTTGGTTTTCTAGATTTTAAGAAGTTCTGTGAACAAATGAAAGGTCACTTGTGTTTAGATTTTAGCTTCTAAGAAAAGTCACAGATCAAATCAAACAACTGCCCTATGTCTGTAATTCTTGGTTTCTCAGAGGAGAAAGATGAAAAATTATGGGGAAAAAATCTTTCATATACAGCAAAAGAGGTCTGTCTTTCCACAAGTGTTGCAAGGAAGAGAGTAAATTTTCCTGTGGAGATCTTTGGTACATCCAGAGGAAACACAAACCCTAGATGCAAGATGAATATGCCCTTCTCCAAAAAAAAACCTACCACACAAGGGAGAGAAACATGCAAATAAAGATTTAGAAGTCTTAAGAAAAAATTAATTAGTTCTGCATGAATGATCATTTGTTTCTCTCAATAATGAACTTTCTAATATATTCTGATACACTATTTCAATAGTAATTTGGCTAAAGAAAATAGCTCTCAGGTTTTCAAGGCGATCTTCATAAGCACCTCTACATCTGTGATGGAGACAAAAGTCTTTGAGAGTAGGAAAGAAACAACAGAATCCAAGGGATGATTTTACAAGTAACTACACAAACAGGATGATTCTTGAGCTTAAGAGCTATACCCAGATTGCTTGACATTTTTGCATTAGCTTCATTTGCAGACACATCCGAAGACCTTATGAAAAAAAAAAGGAAAAGCAAATTAGTTATTCTCAAAGTCCAAAAGGAAGTGGGAAGGACAGCTGATGCATGTCTCTGTCCTAGGTTAATGTTAACAGACTGTTAAACCCTCAATGTGATAGCATTTATGCATGAAACCCAAGAAAGACTTCTGAGGAAAGATGACAGTAACTTACTTGGAAACATTTGCACTGACCAGTAATTTAAAATACAATTTTGCCAACACTAAAACACAAAAAACAGACATAATTTGCCAACATCAAAAGTGAATTCTTAATATACAGAAAAAGAAGTGAGATATCTGTTCCAAGTCTTCTAAAGTTACACCGAGATGTGGGTTCCCCAAGGTATTGGTGTCTAGAACCTACTGCAGAAATAACTTCTGTATGATGCAGTTAATAGGAACACCAAGCAACAAATTATAAAATCTAGCATTCAGTATTACAGATATTTCAAGGACTGATTTACAGGTTAAGTTAGTGCAATAGATGATACTCTTTGTCATAGCTAGAGAAAGACTTAAGAGGACACGTAGCTTCAGTGTTCAGACTAAGGAAATTATTGAGATGTTCATATTGATTTATCTCATTGAAACTAAGTTCTTGCATCTTTATTACAGTTCCTAAATGCTACAAATAACAGAGTAACTAACATACAATGTGCAGGCAATTAATTCCTCACTCATCCTTCCCTATATTTAGTTTAATATCCAGGAATTCAAAGGACAAATGTGAGCATGTGGCACATTTTATGCTGCAAGCAGCACCTCTCTATGTGGCCCTTTTAAATGAGACTCTCTGAGGCACTGAGGATTATAAGACCATATCAGATAAAAGACTGAGCTCCAGAGCAGGAGTAGAAAGTAAACACAAAATGTGCCTCAGGCTGGTCTGGTGGATGGCACCTCTCCTGTGTTGCTTCTTTTAAAGATGGTTGTGCTGTGAAACAAGTTTTGCACAAGCATCAAATGCATGACCTAGAGAGGTTGCCAGCTTGAACCTCCCTGGGCAGGGGGAATGAGAAAAAGATTTGATTTTTCTTTTCTTGATGTTTTCCAGGAGAGGCATGCTGCAGAGGTCCGTAGAAACAAGGAGCTCCAGGTGGAACTGTCTGGCTGAAAACAGCAATGGTGGATGTGACCCATCCCCACCATTAGTAAACTCCCCCTGCCTATATTATTATGGATCATGCGATATAAGTATGGGAAATGTATGACGTGGTTTAAAAAAAAGGTAAAAACAAGAACTCAATAAAAAACTTTAAAAAGAAACAAAAAAATAAAAACAAAATCAATGCGGTCTCTTTGCAGAATGATTTGCTTGATGTTTAAAAAACTTGGATCTTATTTTGTAAATACTTACATTTTTGTTAAAAAATACAATTATTGCATTATGCAAGTTATTTCATAATCTTACATGTCCTGTAACAGGCTTCTGATGTTGTCTATTTCCACTTGGTTGAATTTGCTGGGTCTGTTCATTTGAAGCACCTCGTGTCTAATTCCATTCCCTGCGACTTCTCATTCCAACCCACCATGAGGTCAGTAGTAGTTCTATGGTGCTAGAGGCCAATCATTGCCTAATAACCTAGACTGCTTTGCCATCTATAAGCTTTCTTGAAACAGTGACTAGATCACAAGTATTATGACTTCACATTCAGCTGTCAAAGACAAAAGGCTCTTAAAATGGTTTTTCAAATGCAACTTATGCTGCAGGGCTCTGTACTGTGCTGTACAATTGAGGCTGAATTGCCACGTAGCATTTTTGTTGCCTCTGCTTTTTGAGGTGAGAGGCAACAAAAACATCTGTGCAACAGAATGAAATGAAGCAAAATCAGTTTGAGACAAATTTAAAAGAGGCACGTTGTAACCATCAAGCTATGACAAGTTTTGGGTTATCCAAACAGCCATAAAAATGCTAATTGTAAAGTGAGCTTAATTCACCACTTGAAAATTTATTGATGGAGCAACTAATAGATAGCATCAAGTGGCTTTATCTGTAGGTGCCATGATCTATGATACTTATCTGATGCTACCACATTACATGTGTAATAGTACAAGAGGCTACAGAGTATTTCACCTGGAACCATGAGCCAGTCGTTACTGTTTTTTTATGACACTGCTGACTTCCATTCATCATGACCTTTACTCTTCAGTGTTAGCCAATCCTACCTAGGGACAGACATCTAGGACTAAGAGGGCTGAAGCAGGAGGAATGACTAGACAGGGTGCTTGTGCCAAGTACAATATCACCAAACCCAACACATCATCCCCAAAATAGCTGCAGTTTTGAAGTTGTCCCTACCCCCCCTGGAGGTTGCTGCCTGCATATTCTACTCTTCATTAGTGCTATTTTCCTGTATGTCATTGTGAGCAAGCTGTGATTAATAAAGAATTGGGGTTCTGTGAACTGAAAAAGGGCTTGTTTCTTCTCTCGCTCCATTACCTCTCTGGCATGTGCCCATCTAAGGGGAAAACCTAGTGTGGTCATAAAAGCATGGAAATGAGACTTAAACAATTATTAACAGACCAAGCCTATTTCTCTGCTAATATGGGACTAATCCCTGCTATGCATTTTCCAGTGCTTAGGCTGGCTGTTTTTAAAGATTTCCATATAAACTGAGCCTATAAATGTGACCTCTAGCACTGAGTTTATTTAAAAAGAACTAGCTATATACACATGGACATGCAATCTTTAATCCTGACTCAACACTGGGGGGAAAATGGAATTTGGGGAAAGAAAAGTAAAGAATCTATCTCTGGGTATGAACATCAATAGCTACAACAAGATTCTGGGTGTTAACACACTGGTTTTCAGGGTAGAAAGCATTAATTTATAGGATTTATTGAAGAACAAAATCACTTGGGCTTCTGCTGAGCTACAGAGCTGAAATGTAAAATCAAATCAGACCCCATTTTGAATTGGACAAGTGATAAAGAATTATCTCTAGGATTAGTAGAAAACTAAACTAATTATTTGAAGTCATCAAAGTTGCATCATTTACTTGCTCTTTCAGAGGGGTGGACTATGTGCTCCAGGTCTGCAACATTCAGTTTTTTATTTTAGCAGACTATTATGTTTCGGGGCAAAGAGATGGCCTGCAGTAAAAAAGCAGCATAAGTTGAATGTGGAGAAAGGCTGTGAGCTCAACTCTGTGTGCAGTGAACTCAGAACCACAGAATGAAATGAGTACTCCAGCTTCTTACAGCAGCTAAATTACTCATCTTTCTCATGAAATTACCAGAAGTAAACCTGGCATGGGAGCCAGATAGCAGACGTTGAGTCTGGAAGACATGAACTTCAGTGTTGCCAAGCCTATAAAGTTTGTATATTGCTTTAAGCCCCAGTTAAAAAAAAAAAAAAAAAAAAAAAAAAAAAAAAGACATTATTGTAATTAAATTTAAGGTCCAGGATCTTAGCTTGAGGGATTGTGGACTCTGTTTTCATTTCCCAATGGCAAGCCACTTACAGTTTTCCCTCTCCATTGATTTAACAAATTCTGGAAGTACTTCAAGACCTTTTCCTGTTTGTCTTCCTGGCTATGGTTGCTCAGAGAACAAGCCAAGAACAAATCTCTGCTGCTGAGCCAAGCAGGGCAACCTGCATTACCGCCATGGGGTTCAACTCTCTTCCTCCCAAAAAGGGTGTCCACACCCAAAGTGCCAGCTGGGATGGTCCCCAGCACACTCTCACTCTGCCACAGAACTGTGCTTTGCCTGGGAAGTGCTTCTTGACAGGCACCAAGGCTGCACCAGGGAAAAGAGTGAAGATCCAGACAGTGGGAGTGCTGCTGCCCCAGGTCACAAACCATGCTCTGCTCCTGCTCACTTGGCTCTTTGAACAGTGGAGAGTCTACAATTCATTTTATTAATGTATAACTATGCTTTGAAAGCCTGTTTGCAAATGCACTGCCTATTTAATCTCTAATAGCAAAAAAAAGAAATATCTGGAGACCTGCAGAATAGCCATTTCCTTCTTTTACTCCTTCTTTACATTTCCTTATATTTTACTTTAGTACTGCCTTTCTAGCTCCTCCTTGCTTGTGCCAGAAAAAGTGCATTGTGGCCATGGGTCTCTCTTCATGTGTAGCTTCAGATAAAGAATCTCCTTGAAAAGTAAGAAAATATAAGTATAAAACACCTGCTTTTAAAGTATCACCATTGGGGTAAGACAGGGCTTTTTAAATTCAATGGCAACCAAAGGGTTCAGGGCTTTTAGATCAAAAAAAATTAGGCTTCTTGTTTGATTAACTGTAGATGCCCAAGTCCATGCCATGAGCTGGGAGTAGCTGCTGCTGAGCTGCAGAACATTTCCCACAGACTGCCTGAGACCTCCCACAGGACGGGAGGGAGGCTGGAGCACTGGCATTGCACCACACAGATGTTTCCTCCTTTTACTGGGCTCTGTGATGCCTCAGAAGCAGGGCAGAGCTGTGCAGCACATCTAGAGAGGCACTTCTGGCCTCTGACCTCTGCAGGTCCAAGGAATGCCACTCCAGGCTGGTTAAGGTTAGATCTCCTCTTGGTTAACTCATCCGTTGTGTCAGAGCTGCCACGAGGCAACAGCCTGAGTAATCAAACAGGAATGGCTCAAACCTGTCACACTTCTTGTGGTCCTACCAAAGCCACAAAATTTATGGTCAAACCAATTCTAGAATCCTAGAATATTTTGGTTGGAAGAGGTATTTAAGATTATTGGGCCCTGGCATTATTAACCTGGCACTCCAACTCCACCAGTAAACCACATCCCTAGGTGTCACGTCTCCACATCTTTTAAATACGTTCAGGAATGGCAACTCAGCCACTTCTGTTCCAATGCTTGATAACCCTGTTGGTGAAGAAATTTTCCTAATATCAGAGTCACAGAGTCACAGAATCATTTATGTAGGAAAAGACAATTTAGTCCAACCTATGACCAAACACTACCATGTCAATTACACCACGACACTAAGTCCATGTCCAGTCTTTCCTTAAATACATCCAAGGATGGTGACTCCACTACATCCCTGGGTAGCCCATTCCAGTATCTAATCTCCCTTTCTGTGAAGAATTCCTTCCCAATGTCCAATCTGAACCTCCCTTGGCACAACTTTAGGCCACTTCCTCTTGTACAGTCGCTTGTTAGCTGGGAGAAGAGACCAACCCTGCTACAACCTCCAAATATTTCCAGAGTCAGAAGGTTTGGATGTATGGTTTAAATCAACCACCAGTACAGAACTTGAAAACAATGCCTTTTCTCTCCCCTTTGTTATCATGCTTCTTGTCCCATGGAGGGTTTTTTGTTGCTTTGTTTTAGAATGACTGGAAGAAAATGCTAACCCTTGTATAGCCAAATAGCAATGTCTGCCCATTCCCTCACTCCAGAATCCCCAAACATGTGGCTGATGTACAGCAGCACTGTACACACACTCAGAGCTGCCTGCCTGCCACCCAGCAGCCCTGACAGAGAGATGGACTCTGTGATCAGCACAGGAGAGTTTTACTCCCAGCACCTAAACTAAGCAGAGAAGAGAGAAACTTCTCTCCCCTCTCCCAGAAGGAGTGAGACATTAGAGCAGCATGAATATCTTTCTCATCCTACTGTTGCCAGATCCCATCATGTCAAATCAAACCCTCCCATCAGGTTTAGATGGAGAGAAGCAAGCAGGAACAGGTAGGCCCCACATCCATCTTGCACCACATGCCCTGTCCTGAGCATATTCCAGCGGTGGGGAAGAGGAGACATTCACTCAGCAGAGGGGATATTACCAGGGGGATATTGGAACAATTTCAGGTAATTTTCCCAGTGCCCCAGGGCTGGTAACGCAGTTATGTTGGTGCAATACTGCCATGCAGTGGTCAGAGTTTACAGGGGAGAGCATCTCTGAATACACCAGGGATTGATTGCAAGGATTTTCTCTGAAGAATATCCATCCCATCTGCTGCACAGTTGACACTTTATATGAGGTAAATGGTGGGTTTGAATTCTGAAGCCTGAGTCCAGACATTTTCAGGTTTAACTCCTCTCTAACAGGAGTGGCATGACCACAGATAGCTGTAAGTCCAAAGAAAGGACTGATATTTTTGTGTGGAGTGTGGAGCATGGAGCAGCCAGAATTAGAATTATTGCAGCACCACCATCAGAAGCCCTCCTGACTATGATAATTCCTGCATTACTGAAACATCAAATATGTCTAGAAAGCAACATAATGCACAGCAGCCAGCTCAGAAAAGAGACTGAGACAATTATAAAAGCAATGTCTGAAGTACAGGGAAGGGCAAAAGAAGCTACATGAGAAACCCTCAGCAGATTAGGGGGTAAATGAACTGTGAAACAAATCTCACATTTGAAAAGTAGTTTTCATCTCCCAGTGAAGGAGAGAGCATGGCCATCCTTGAAGCTGTCCCCCTTGAAAAACACAGAACTCCTTCTCCATCCCCACACCAATGCTTGGAACTAGGACACAAGACAGAGGAACCTAAAATCCAGCCCACATTACATATGTGTGTGTGTGTGTGTGTGTGTGTGTGTGTGTGTGTGTGATCCATAGCTCTGTGAGCAACAGGAACCAGAATATGCTTGGATTATCCATGGATTAGGGGGTTCTCCAGTGTGCAGTAAAATGCCTGTGCTGTAGCCATTCATAATTCCAGTGCTGTGCTGAAGCTCTGATGCCATCTGATCTTTTAGTTTTCCTCCTGGGAGATACATGGAGATTCCTGCTGCTATTCAAAGACCATAGGAATGCCGATAATAGATAATTTACTTAGGGAAACATTTGCCTGCTTCAAGTCCACGCTCCCCTTCTTTTGGGAGGCAGTAAGTAGCTGCTGGAAAATGTCTTCCTGTTGTAGCAGTTTGACTTTGGTGAAATGGGTCACAGAAAAAGGAGATCCTGGGAAATTCTTGATGGAGACATGAAAGGCATTATCCCAGATACAGGCCAGACAAATGTGATATGAGGAAACAGCCAAGCTACAACTTAAATTTCTTTTAGCTGTGATAGTTGCAATGGATTTTTAAACAAACTTTGAAAAATAAGTTCACCCTATCAAAATACATTTTAAAAATATTAGTTCTTTAAAGACACAGCTTTCCAGTAAGTTATTTAGATAATAATTTCTACATATTCACAAAAGCTAAATTTCCCCATGTACAACTGCTTCTGACCAGAAGATGGCAATCTCTTATTATTTATTAGGCAGCTATAGATGGCAAATTTTATTTTGAAGAGCCTTTCAGCCTCTGCAGAATCCTGAAATCCTGCTATGTGGAATCAGATGTTCCATATTTACCCTAAAATATGGGCTTGGGTTTATATAAAACATAAAAGATAACACTTTTCTCTTCAAAATTCACTGGTTTTGCTACATTTCCTTAAAAATACAGCACTGGGCAGACATTTAAAATAAACTAAAGGATAAGGTGGCCATATGAA